CTTTTGTTGGAGACAGAATCACATTATTTAGCTCTGGGTGGATTCAAATTTACAATCCACCTGCCCCATCCCCCACCCCCAGTGCTAGGATTACATGGGTGCACGTGGTGGTTTGAATAGGTATGCCTCTCACAGACTCAAGTGTTTGAATGCTTAGTCCATAGGGAGTGGCTTTGTTGGAGTAGGTGTGGCCTTATTAGGAGAGGTGTGTTACAGTGAAGGCATGCTTAGAGGTCTTATATGCTTAAACTATGCCCAGTGTAGAATACAGTTCATTTCTTGTTGCCTGTGGATCGAGATGTAGAACTCTTAACTACTTCTCCAGCACCACGTCTGCCTGCATGTTGCCTTGCTTCCCACTGTGATGATAATGGACTGAACCTCTGAAACTGTAAGCCAGGCCAGCCCCAATTAAATGTTTATGTTTTCCTTTATAAGAGTTGCCATGGTCTCCTGTGAGTTTGAGGCCAGCCTGGCCTACAAAGCAAATTCCAGGACACCCAGGGCTGTTAGATAGAGAAGCCCTGCCTCAAACAAACAAACAAACAAACAAACAAACAAAACAAAACAAAATCATGCCTTGGTCATGGTGTCTTTTCACAGCAATGGACAGTGCATCAGTATTTCATGAAATTTTCCTGGGGAGACTAGACTCAATCCAGACAGGACAACCAACAACAATTGTTACTTTTGGTTACAGACCAAAGTAACAATTTGCCCAAAGTCTATTTTGGTGAACCAGTGAGTTTACTGGGCTTCCTTGAAGAACTCACTGTACCACTGAGTCTCCCCCCACTGTGGAGACCACTCCCTCTGCTAGCTGTGAAGATGGAGTTCTCCTGGAGTTACCCTTCCATACTACATCCTCTGGCTTCTACGTGAAGCTCCAGCAGAATCACTTATAGGTGGGAGGGAGATGCAGGAAGGGGGGCTAAAATCTCAGGGGAGGCTCTAATGACCCTCCCCACCCCAGCTATGAAGAAATGTCAACAGCCCATTGAGGGACCCTTGGAAGTAGTCACAGCTGCTCTGATGAAGACATTAAGGGCTGTCAGGCTTGGCGAACTGTCTTTTAAGACAACCACCATGCCTCTTTTTAGGATCTCATGATGTAGCCTTGGCTAGCTCTGAACTCACTATGTAGACCAGGCAGTCCTGGAATGCTTGCCTCTGCCTTATGAGTGCTTCATGAAAGGTGTGGGCTACTATGCCCGGCCTTTGTCTGTTCTTTCTTTCTTCCTCCTCCTCCTGTTTCTGTTTTGCTGTTGGTGCTGGTAGTAATGCTAGAGATTGTACCCAAGGGCTCATGCGTGCGACACCAGTGCTGAGCCTCTGAGCTAATCATTAGTTCTCTTCTTACTTTTTGAAAGCTCTAACTTCCTGTGTAGTACAGGCTGGCCTTGAACTTGTTATTCTCCTGCCTCAGCTTCCTAAGTAGCTAGGATTACAGGTCTGTGTTACAAGATCTCGGTCATGTCCAGCTTTGAGCATCTTTTGTGCTTTTGCTAACTGAATACATTTGGATTTGTAGATGATCAAGATTTGTGACTTGAAAGGAGTCAAGAATGGCTTTGAAGTCTTGCCAGTCTCTATGGATGCCTCTGCCTACCTCTCCTTTTGGTGTTTTCCTTCATCCTTCCCACCTTTCCTTTTCTTTTTCTTTTGATATGGTCTCTCCTTATCTAGTCCATGCTAGTCTTGAATTCTCTATCCTCCTGCCTTAGTCTTCCAGAGTAATGGAATTTCAGACATGCACCAGTATTCTTCAAGGAGAATTTTCTTTTTTCTTTTGGTTTTAGGGACAGGGTCTCCTTGTATCTCAGTCTGGCCTGGAACTTCCTGTGTAGTGTAGGCTGGTCTTGAACTTGGGATTCTTTTGCCTTGGCCTTCCAAGTACAAGGATTATAGACTTGTGACATGCCTTGCATAGATTTTCTAATCTTTCTCTTCCCTAGTGTTCTTTGCCATAACCTACATTGTCCCTCTTGGAAATCCCTAAATAACCCAGCTCTGAAGAGCCTAATGAGAACCAACTGGGTGAATGCACACAGCTTCAATCTACCAGCCCAATACCTATGTGATCAGTCAATTTACCGAATGGCTTTTGGTCTCAGTTTTCTTATCTTTCAAATGTGGGTTGCGGATGTAGCTTGTTTATAGGTAGAGTCATTGCTTGGCAGGCTGAAGACCCAGAGTTTGAAGCCCAGCACAAAGCAAAGCAAAAGCAAAACAAAAGTTGCTCAGGAGGTGGAAGCCGTGACTCCGGCCAGAAAGGCAGGCGATCCTATACATTGTTTGCCGTCAGTCAGTGTTTTTGTGTCCTGCCAGTTGCTGGGCCAAGCATGTCTAACAAGAAGACTTGATCTTTGTCTTCCTGACACAGGAATAACCTTGAGTTTGGAGCCCAGGGTGGGGCAGATAACTGAATGGCTGAATGACTAGAGCCTTTCCATCCCTGGAGGTCCCATCCAAGAAAGCCTCCCAGCACTGTTCAGAATGTGTGTTATCTGCCTTGAGCCTAGAGACCACTCCCAGGTGTGATGGTACCCTGGATGCTGGGAGTCCTCTCTCCAGGGGCTTGTGTTGGTGTGTTGATAACTAGAGGACATACTTGTGGAGCTCACCAGATTCCTTGTGACACTAGAGTGATTTTGCTGCTCAAATTCACAATCCTGACCTCCAGGCTCTTTAGCTCTGATGTACTGGTTAACTGTAACTGGTGCCCCAATTTCAGGTCCCAGGTGGACTCTGCATCTGCTCTCTGCCTCTTGCCTTGGGCATATATCTTATGCAAGTTTCCGGATCCAGTTTTTGCCCAAAAGGAGATTGGTAATCTACATGAGAGTGTGTGCAGCCTGCAAAGGAGCTTCTTGGACCTTACAAGACAGGTGTGATAGCAGCTGGAGTCAGAATAATAATCAGTGCTAACAGAAGGGGTCCAGGTGTTGAGAGAAAAGCATGTGGGAAGCCCCGGGTCTAACCTCAGCAACAAAATCAACCTAACAGTAATATAATACTAATTATGTGCCTTATACATATTCATGTATTTGATCCTATAACTGCCATACAGGGTAGGTATCTTTGTAGTGCATGGTTTAAAGGCTCATACCCAGCACCCCAAAAGAGACTGTAGGAGAAAATAGTTCACACTCTTTTGGCTTGCTTCGACCTGGCTGTTCTGCACAGCCTGAGGACTAGGGAATAACTTTGCAAGGCAAACCTTTAGTAAAAGAAATTTATATTAGTAAGGGAAATCTCCATTGGCCAGCGTTCCAGGACCCCGGCTGCTGCAATAGCTTTTTTTCAACTGGGAGACTTTTATCTGCATGACAAGAGCATCTCTATTTGCCATACAGTTCCTTTCCTTAGCCCCAATAACTTGTGTCACCACCACCCCGACAGAAGCCCTAGGACCCCATTCCTTTCTGTAGTTCAGGAAGCTTCAGTCATCTGAGCCTTCATATGACATCATTATTTTCTGGGACTCCCATGGATATGTAATTAATCAAATAGGAGTTTTTTTCCTTGTTATTTCCTATCCATTTAATTTGTAAACAAGCCAAAGACACTGGGGGAAGCCACTTTTCCCTTTCCTTACTATAAACTCTAGAATTAGAGTTTGGTGAAGTCTGTGCCTCCCTCAGTTTCTCCATCTACTAACAGGTAAGACTAAGATATAGCTTTTTGGATTGCTAGGAAGATGAAATTTATGAAAATTTGTGTGTGGAATGGGTGACTAATACCAAGTAAAAAAAATATCTAAGATTTTGATAAACTTTTTGTAGATGAGGAAACTGAGGTACAAGAGGAGTTTGATCATTTGTTTGAGATGATGCACCTAGGGAGAGGAAGGGTGGGAATCAAGCCCTGGAAATGTGGCTTTGAACACACTAGCAAGAAAGAACAGATGTCCAATGTGATTTCCTTTGTGATGTGATTGGTGGGGAAAGCCTGGAACTAAGCCAGGTGGAAACTTGCAGCTCTTAAGTCTTCGTTCAGCTGTTGTAAATGAAGTTTGCAAAACTGGACTGTGTCCAGGTGGCCAGTAGTTTTTAGAAGAAGGATCTGAGGCCTGAGGTGGGCCTAAATAAAAGGTGTTTGGCTGGGGCTCTCCCAGGCTCCTGTCCTTCCAGGAAGTCCCAGTAAAGTGACACTCAGTAGTTGGTAATAAATGACAACCTAAAGTGGAAAAACCTTGACAACAGAGTTTAAGTCAACAAAAATTGAACTTAAGTCAACAAACACTGGTCTGGGGGTTCCTACACCTCCTAGGAAAGGCTGCTGGAATTCCAGGATGCTCACAGTTCAGTTGGGGAAATGCAACGTCAGCAAGCACATGGGCAAGAGACCCCAGTGGTGGGAGGTGTTGGGAAATTACTAGTCCAGATAATGGCCCAAGCAAAACCTGGGAAACTAAATATCCCCTGCTGGGACTGGCATGGTGATCTGGAAGACCTTTACACACTTGAATATGGAGTAGAAGAATTAACCCCAGAGAGAAAAGAGTTTAAGTTTGGTGAGAGAAATGTTAGCATTTTTAGCTGGCTCTCTCAGAGGCAGCTGAAGAAGCAAGAAGACTTGCCAAGGAAAAGAGGCAAACCCAGAAAAAAAGGAGCGTGGGGGCTGGAGGGACAGTGGCTTGGACTGGAGCAGTGACAATTTGGGCGGGAAGTTTCTCCCATCTGACTCTTCCTCATTTGGTTCTTTGCTATGTGTGTTGCTCGGGGTCTAGCTAAGATCCGCACAAGGTTGGAACCCTCGCCTCATTGAGTCGCAAGGTGTGTCTTTCTGGAAGTCCTCACATCTGCCCAGCCAGGCCCGCAGGCTCTGTCCCTGCTCCAGCAGACTACTCCCTTCCCCTCCTTGGTCTCCGCCCCTCCTGTAGGCTCCTCCTTGGGCTCTGGCGCCCGGGCCCCGCCCCTCGTCTCTTGCCCACCCCGCCCCTTCCGTACGCTCCGCCCTCGCGCTCGCGCGCCAGGTCCGGGCGGCGCCGACGCACTTGGCGGGAGATAGGAAAGTGGTTCTGTGCGCTCCCGAGGCAGCTGCAGTTCCTGAGAGCGCGCGACGAGACCTGCAGACACACAGACGCCTCAGAGCGCCGCCTGGGGCCGGGAGCGGCCGGAGCAGCCCGAATCCTGACCCCGGCCCGGCTCCCGCTCCAGGCTCGGCCGGCGGGCGTGAGGGCGCGGCGCGGCCCGGGCCGGGGGGATGTCTCGGCGGACGCGCTGGTGAGTTCTGGGGTTCTCGCCCCTCTCCTTCAGTCTGCAAACAGGAGGTGGGGGCTCCCCGCGGGAAATGCACCCCGCGCGGCAGCCCTGTGCCAGGGCGCCGCCCGATGCAGGGGAGCGCGCCACGGTAAGGGGCTCTAGGGACCCCTCGCCGGGATTCCCGGGCCTTCTGGGCCCAGGAGCACGAAAGCGCGGGTTCCCTCCCCGAGACCCGGTCCCGGCCCTGGGTGAGGTCCATCATCTCCCGCCTAATTGCAGGGTGGGGAAGGAAGGCTGGTGCGCGCGGTGTCAGCTGGAGGCTCACTACTGGGCCGGGGGAATGTCTCTCCAAGTCGCAGCGAGTGGGAGGCAGAAGTCTCCGAGACACTTGTCGTTCAAGAGTGGCTCGAATTTGCTGGAGTCCCTTTCTTGTTTGCATTCCGGGAAGCACAAAGCCCCTGGGCCCTCTGCCGGGTGTGAGACCGGGGATTCATTGTCTGTCTCTTGGGGATTCGGCGGCCGGTTCGGTTTGGTTTCAGAAACCCTCTTCCTGTCCCACGCTAGTTTTGGGTAGCTGGGGCTCAGTAGAGACTGCTGATGTGTAACGAGACTGCTCTGCCAGCGGTCGCTGGGCCAAAGGCAGGAGCCGCGTTTCCCTCTTACTAAATTTCCCCAGAGGATAAGTGGCTGGGTCAAGCCTGGACCTTTCGTACACCTGTGTATCTGGGGCCCAATTGCGGGGCTTTCCAGCCTCTCTAAGGAGTGGGATAAATGGGGTCCTGCCGTGTTCCCTCTGGGTCTCTGCAGTTCAGAACACTCATGTCCTCAGATGGCCGAACTGGGCTTAGGATGAGGATACAAACCGAGATGCCCAGCTTGCTCACTTTCACAGAGTTTCTCATTGCTGGAAAGTATTCGGTCCATGAGCGCTTGTCAGGGTGGGTTCCCATGCCCCCGTTTCTAAGGCAGTTCAGCGGCCAGGAAGAGCCTCTGGACATAGTAACTCCAGGAGTCCCGGAGCTTATTTGGAGGGACCCTTGTGAAGCATGGGCTCAGTGCCCCTGTATCCTCACAAGCCTCAATCCTTTTTCTGCCACGTTATAACTCTCTTGTACCCCAGTGCCCCACTTCCCTCTTGGCCTCTGACTCACCTTTCCCTGGAGCACAGCCCAGAACGTACATGGGCAAGAGAAAGGGTATGTGTACAAAAATGTGATTTTTTTTTTTTTTAACCACACACTGGCCTCTGCTTTTCAAGCTGTGATTACTAGGGAGGTAAGGGTGTAAAGGTGTGGAGCCTGACGCCGCATAACCCTGGTTGGCCTCAATGTTCACATCTGTTAAATGGAGACCTTGAGAATGTGAGAGGGGGCATCGTGTGAATGCCATCATCTGCCATCTGTTTAATAGTATTCCCATTACACAGCATGAGAGCTTCTCTACATAGATGCCTTTTGTTCGGGGACATTGACTGAGCTTCTAATAGAATCTGGGCCTCGCGCTGGGTACTGGAGAAGCAAACTAAGTTATTAATGCTTAGTAGATTTTGCCTCCTGCTTTACAGTGGTTAAGTGGTGCATGCATTGGGTCAGAAGTGACAGAACAAATCTGCAGCGTTCCAGATCCAGTGACATGTATTGTTAGGTTTGGAAACTTCTTCTCATTGTAATTGAATTTTAAAATGGGTTAGTAGGCAGCTTCTCTTTGCAGTATTCATTCATTCACAAATCCACTGGTGCCCTGGGCAAATATTTCTTAAGGTTTTTCTATGCCAAATTCCAGGTTGTGAAGGTGGAGCTGACCTTTGTGGGTGATGTCAAGACCAGAGGTTGGAGCTGAGGTCAGGGCCTGGTTTTCCAAAGTGCTTTGGGTGTGTAGGAGTTACTGGGAAGCTCTGCTGCCTTTGGGGGAAGAAAGGGAAGGGTGTGTAGACACCATCAGAACCCATTTGGGCACAGAGCATGGCTCGTTTTGTTTGCAAATCTTTTTGCTTTTCCCAGCGACAGATGACAGACGTAGGACTATATTTGCTAGAAGCGACTCAATGCAGGTCCTGCGAATAACTGTTTTCCTTCCTTCCTTAATTAAGTACGTGTAGTTATATATATGCACTTGGGTGTAGGTGCCCACAGAGGCCAGAGCCAGGATCCTCCTAGAGCTGGGAGGTGGTGGTAAAGGGTTCTGGAAACTGAACCTGGGTCCTCATCAAGAGCATTATGTTTCTAACCAATGAACCAGCTCTGCAGTCCCTCCCTGACTAGCATTCTTGGAGGTTCATAGTGTGATCTCTCTTTCAAAGCATTAAACTAGATAGTAGGAGTTTGGTAGCAGTTAAATAAAATATTCCGTGTTACTGGCCCGTGGTGGAGCAAACCTTTAATCCCAGCAGGGAAGCAGAGGCAGGCCAGTCAAGTTCCAGGATAGCCAGAGCTACACTGAGAAACCCCTTCTTGAAAAACAACAACAACAACAAAAACTTCTTTGTTAGCTTCTTTAAAAGCCTTCAGACTTCAGATGATTATATTCTGAGTTTTTTCTGTTCATCACATGTAGGCGCGAATTGGAAAGGGACAGGCAAGAATGAAGTAAGGCTGGGTACGGCAGAATATGCCTTTAATCCCAGATAAAGGGGATGGAAAAAGTTAGTGATGACATGTTTTAGATGTTTCCCCTAAGTAATTAGGTCTTTTAAATTTTTGCATGCTTGATGATCATGAAAATATCCAGTGTTAGCAACTGGAGAGATGCCTCAGTGGTTAAGAACACTTATTGCACTTGCAGAGGATCCAGGTTCAGTTCCCAGCACCCACCTGGTGGCTCACAATCATCTGGACCTCTAGTTCTAGGGGATCAGGCACCCTCTTCTAACTCTGCATGCACCGGGTATAGATAGATGTGGTGCATAGACATACATGAAGGCAAAGCACTCATAAACAAAATAATCTAAACAAAACAAAAAAGCAAGTGCAGGTGTAAGGTTATTATTGAAAAGAAAAAAGTGGGAATG